CAACTGGATTGAGACCTGCGCTCTGGCTGCAGGGCCGTTTCACACTTTAAACTCATGTTTTTAAAGCTTTTGTTGATCTGGCGTCTGTTCAGGGCCTCATCTATTCACTCACAACATCACAGACACACACGTTAATACGTTACAAACAACGCTCTCTTTTTTTGCCCAATTATTCCCTCCAGTAAAATACAATATTGAGCGTTTTTTAATCAGAGCTCAGAGTCGTCGCTTCGTGTAGAATCGCTTCCCACAATTCTCTGATTAAGTCTCACTGAGACACAATAATTAGAGATTTAACAGCAGAACTACCACCACGGTTCAAGATGATGTTTCTCTACATAGTTTATGATTTTATCCTTTATCGTTTTATGATTTACAAATACTGATTTACTTATAGATATTTATTTTCAGCCTACAATGATGTTTCTATACAAACATAACTAAGTTGTTTTGTTGCCTATGGCTAAATGTGAACGTGGTAAAATGACAAATAACATTCTCTATCATGACACACACACTGTCTTTGAAAAGTCTACGAGCTATTGAAAGGTCACATGCCGGCTGATGGAGGAGTTCAAGGTTCAGTCTCCACATTTTATGGTGAGGTGAGATTTGATTCCCGTGGTACCAGATAAAGCTCACCAGGGTCGAATGATAATCATTTCCTTTAACCGTCGCTCCGCCCTGTTAGACTGAAGGTGCAAAGGTGAAACCCTTGCTGCTTTTATCACTCACAAATTGTTATCATGCAAAGGTTTGGCTTCTTATGTTTGGAAGTACTGGACCCGATATCATGTGCTCATCATTTGATAAAGAACTATTTAGCTTTTGTAAGAAAATGAAGCTTTTTATTTCTGAGAGACAATTTTCATGATCTGAAACATTAAGTAAACTAAAGGTTATCAGGTAAATAGAAACATCTATTCAGGCTGGTCTCATTCAGCATGTGTATTAAAATCTACAACTTTTCATGTGACATCATACACAGTTATGAGGATACGATGACTGTATTCACACACACACACACACACACACACACAATATCGTATTTATACCGCACTGGTTTTCCCTACTGGGAGATCAGGGAGTCCTCAGGTGTGCTACCAGCATCTTATAGCTCTCTGCTGTCCTGCTCCGAAATGGTGGAAGGAGCTCTCTGAAGACACCAGGACCACACAGAGCCTTCACCTCTTCAGACTCCACCTCCACTAAAAGACTAACAAATTGTAGCACTTAAATTGTACTTATAACGCCACTTATCTATAGCAAATTGTAAATTGGCTTATTTGATGAAATTGCACTTTCTTGTTTCTTGTTCTTCTGAGTTTGTGTCCTTATGGTTGAAATGCACTTATTGTAAGTCGCTTTGGATAAAAGCGTCAGCTAAATGACATTTAATGTGATGTAATGTGATGTAATGTAAAGTACCTGGCAGCCAGAGAGGGACGGACCTCAAGGCCTCTGGATCGCATCAATATTACAGCACTCGAGGCCGGAGAGAAGCAATCAGATATTCACACTGCTAACAGCGCTAACAGCGCTAACAGTGCAGACATCAGTAACAGTGGTGTCCGTGTTTACCTGAGGAGGAACCAGCAGGTGGACGCTACGACTCTGCATCAGATCTGTTCCTTCACCACTCGATTCCTCTGAATTCCTCACACTGCTTCCTTAAGTGATGCACTTGAGCTCGTTACGTTTCCCACTGCAGTCCGCTTACATATAGTGAGACGTGTGAGAAGAGGCTGATACAGTAGTCAAGCTTTTGCGTTTCTTTGTAATAACCTTCAAATAGGACGACAATGGAGGCGGCATCAGGTGTCTATTGAGGGTTTAAATACGAGTTACTAAAAAGTGTGACTTCAGGCTGGATAAAGCAGTCACCTAATTGCATATTGCAGATTCCTGCAAACAAACTTCCTGATTCAGCTCAATTTTCCCATAATGTTCATCCAAATAATAATCTCAATGCAGCAGATTCCCCGAGAGGCCAGAGGCAAACTTTAGGAGCAACGAGCATCACCTCGTCCACTCATCACTAAAACAAATACAGAGATTGTGTGTTTAAAAATGTATTATTATCTAATTGTGTCACGAATCGTCCAGGACGGGAACCCAAAAGCAGACCACTCGGAAGAATCAAAATAAAAGGTGGGTATTTATTATGCAAAAAGGTGTGGGGAAGGACTGGTCCGGTTGGGTGGTGATGAGCGGGGGCTGGAGTCGGGTCAACGGCTAGGCAGGGGAAAAGGGCGATCCAAGTGATGAGCTGTAGGCAGGGAAACAGATTGCTGGTTAGTGATCCGGAAAATAAACAGAAGCAAACAAACACACTGACTCTTGACTAGACTCGAGTTTGGAGCAAAAACCATACGTGGTACGCTAACGATCCGGCAGGGACTGGTTGTCTGGTCACGGCTTAAATTGTGAAGGGGATGGTAATCAGGACCGGGTGTGCAGGCAGCAGCAGGTGTCGATGGTTGAATAATTAGTCAGGATGTGTTTGGGGAAACTCAGAAAAAACAGGTTAGAGTGGCAATGTAATAAACCCGGTTCAGGAAGCTGAATTCCTGACAAATTGTTAGTATTAATAAGGGGGGCACAACAATGAGGCTTTGTAATATTGATTTGTTTCATGTCTTTGACTTTAAGACAAAAAAGGTTTAACTTCACGGCCAATTTGGAATCTTATGGCAAAACCAGAGAACACAACAACACATTTATTTGTATTTATTCATGAAGTCGGTTAGACTTCTGTATTTATGGACACGTTACGACTTTTTCAGATGTGTGATGGCTGATAGCTTTTATCAATTTAAAATCAATGCACCTTCTCATATACGCTCATGGAGCAACATGTAGGTGGACATAATTTACCGTTTCTTCATCTGCACATTGGGGTTTGTGAGTCAAACGTAAATGTTAAAAAGGATTACCTAAACCTAAAGGACTATTAGGAACACCATACTAATACTGTGTTTGACCCCCTTTCGCCTTCAGAACTGCCTTAATTCTACGTGGCATTGATTCAACAAGGTGCTGAAAGCATTCTTTAGAAACGTTGGCCCATGTTGATAGGACAGCATCTTGCAGTTGATGGAGATTTGTGGGATGCACATCCAGGGCACGAAGCTCCCGTTCCACTCCACTTTATGACGTATATGAGATTCTGATATCACAAGATACAGATACAAAGTTGTAAAGATAACAGGATGATAACAAGCAGAGGTTTAACAGTCAAAAAGTGAAACAGAGAAGAACACAGAGGTTCAAAGTCTTGTTCCAGTTTATGAGGGAGGGATTGAGGAGTGTCATCATCTGCTGATCTTACATACAGAGAGCAGCATTTATTACCATCAATGATTAACCAGTGAAGGAGGTTGGTGGACTTGAAGTCAGATTCTGACATTGTTGAAAGGAGATACGACGACGTTACACCTTGAGAAATCTCTGAGGAATAATGTTCCACCTGGACTGAGAAAAGACAAATTACTGGAAATATAATTTGGTGAGTTTTTCTTTTTTTAGGAACTGTTTGAAAAAGTCAGAAAATGGCTGAAAAGATCGTTCTTTTTGAAAGTTTCCTGAGCTGCCATGTTTGTTCAGAGACGTTCCGAGATCCCGTGTCTCTGAGCTGCAACCACAGCTTCTGTTCAAGCTGCCTGCAGCGATTCTGGGAACAAGCTGGAAACAAGAACTGTCCCATTTGTAAAAGAAAATCCTCTAAAGATAATATAATAGTGAATTTCCAACTAAAGGAACTGGCCGACTCGTTTGCTGGGAGACAGAAAACTGGATCAACTGAGACAGAAAAAGGAGAGAAGAAGGTGGAGGTGGTGTGTTGTGAACATGGAGAAGAGACTAAGCTGTTCTGTGAGGACGAGCAGAAAGCTGTGTGTCCTGTCTGTGAGTTCTCTCTCCACCAGAGTCACAAGGTGGTTCCTCTAGAACAAGCAGTCAGGAACCTGAAGGACCAGCTGAGATCTGACTTGGAGTCTCTGCAGGACAAGAGGGACAAACACCAACAAGTGGAGAAAACGTACAATGAAGTGATCCAACTCTCCAAGAAGCAGCTGGTGTCCACAGAGAAGAAGATCAGAGCAGAGTTCAACAAGCTCCACCAGTTCCTGAGAGAGGAAGAGGAGTCCAGACTGGCAGCTCTGAGGGAGGAAGAGGAGCAGAAGGGGAAGACCATCAGCAGAGAGATGAAGATGATTGAGGAGCAGATCTCCTCTCTGTCAGACAGCATCTCTGCTGTTGAAGAAGACCTGCAGAAAGACAAGGTGTCGTTCCTCAGCAGTTATAAAGCCACTCAGACCAGAGCCAGAGTCCAGAGCTCACTGACAGATCCACAGCTGGTCTCAGGAGCGCTGATAGATGTGGCCAAACACCTGGGCAACCTGTCCTTCAGAGTCTGGGAGAAGATGAAGGACCAGGTCCACTTCAGTCCTGTCATTCTGGACCCAAACACTGCAAACTACAGTCTCTCTCTGTCTGATGATCTGATCAGTGTGAGATATGGAGACACATTCCAGCAGCTGCCTGATAATCCAGAGAGATTCACTGAGAATGCAGAAGTTCTGGGCTCTGAGGGCTTCAGCTCAGGGAAACACAGCTGGGAGGTGGAGGTGGGAGACCATCCTGACTGGCTTGTAGGTTTGGTTAAAGAGTCAGTTGACAGGAAGGGAAAGATATATGCTTCACCAAAACATGGAATCTGGTGTTTACTTCATGACAGTGGAGAATACACTAATGGAGCTGGTCAGACTGTCAGAGTGAAGAAGAGTCTCCAGAGGATCAGAGTCCAGCTGGGCTATGACAGGGGGGACGTGTCCTTCTACGACCCTGAAGACACGACTCCCATCTGCACTCACAGAGACACTTTCACTGAGAAACTCTTCCCATATTTTAGTGTTGGAAAGTCTGGTGACGCTAAAACTGCTGATATCAAAATCTGTCAAACTGATGTTTCTCTGTGATGTTCAGTGAAGGTGGTGAAGTCAAAGTGATTCTGTTCTTGTTTGATGTTTATTATAGTTTTTTTGTTGCTAATTTCTGTAAATATTTTCAAATTAAAGAATGAGAAGCTGAAAATGAGAGGGATGATGTTCTAAATAGTATTTAAGTTTTAAGTTTGCCTTTAAAAGCCTTTTAGTTTTAAATTACCTGACCACATGAAGCCTCATCCTACTTTATCTATCTTCTTCATTTATTTATTAATCATCTATCTCTGAAACTAAATATGGAAATAGAATTATTAATCACTGCTTATTTTTTGTGTAATCTGAAGTATCTTTAATTACATTCAGATGTTGTGTTTGCAGAGTTCTACTAAATAAAATACTTTATTCTCATTCACACCTTTCTGTTCCATTCCTCATCCTGTGTTCCTCTCATTGTTTAATTCTGGGTTTGTGTTGGTTGATGAGATGTAGAAGTACGTACAAGAGGTGAAGGACACTGTGCACCAACACTGGTGAGCTGCAGCTACATATTAGTGTCTATTCCTGATGAAGAAAAGATCATCAGTCTTTAACTAGAAGGACTTTATTCCAGTTTCAGATTTATAAATAATTCCTCCAAATAAAATAACAAAATGTTCCTGCTCAGAATGAATCAAATACTGATGATGCTGATGTAGTAATTGAATTGTTATTTGCCATATGTGTGCCCAAATTAAGGTGTAGAAGCATTAAAAAAGTGGATGTGTCCCCTTTAAAAGGTGATATTGTCACGGATGTGTTCATTAAATTGCATGAGATCAACCTGCTCAGCAAATATTTTGGTCAAAAACATGAACGACTTCTATCAATAAAAATACAAAGCTGACTCACTTTTCTGTTTAAATGATCATTTTATTGATGACACCGTCACATTTTCTTGAAGTCATAGAAACACGTGTAGCACGTAAGAGAACAGAGCACTAATCCAAAGAATCAGAGAACTAGAGGATTAATATTATTATACAGAAGAAACCCAGAGGGACACAAAGGGACAACGGTGAAGTAGAAAGAGGCGACTGCAGAGAAACGATGGAATAAAGTCAGAAACGAGGCAACGGGAGAAAGCGTGAAAGAGCAGAGAAGTCAACTCAGTGTTGTCAGTGCAAAAGTCAACTGGTTGTGCGGCTGCATGAGAAGCATCACTGGGCCGTCTGTGTGTGTCTGTGCCTCACGTTGTGTGACTGCGCCCCCTGCTGGAGCTCCTTCTCTCTCTGCTGCCTCTCAGTGAAGCTCCACTCAGTCCTGGTGCTCCTCGTGTTCTCTGAGCTACGCGAGGGCCACGTTCTGCACCGACAACACGGGGCCCCAGAGGAGAGCATCTTCATCGTCATCGTCACTGTCAACATCCTCCTATAGTGCCACATCATCAACATCATCATCTCCTCTGTATCATCTAGAGATAAAAGTCTTCATACGCTGAGAGAATAGACAGAGAAAGGTTGATTATAACAGCATTCAGGAGAAAGTGAACTAAGTAAAAAGAAAAGAAAGTAAACTAAAATAAAAACACCAACAAATAAAGTGTCCAGTTGACTGTCGTGTAAAGTGAATGCAGCTAAGCAGCAGTTACCTGCAGGTGTGTGATACTGTGTCCTCCCTCATTTTAAACATGTGAATCTTATATTTTAATAGGACAAGACCCGAACCACCATAGCAGATCTTGCACGGTGAGAATCCTTTTCCTCAGCAACCAGTCCACTGGGTGTCTGTTTATATTATCAACTATGTATATGTATATGTATGTATACATGTATATATAACACAACCCCAATCTAAATCCATCTTTTTGCTGCGTGCCGGATACCTCAGAAGATAAGTGAAGGTTTTAAGGACATCACGTCCCCGATGGTGTTCGGGGACGTGACCCAAAGCATCACGGCGGACGAGATTGTCTTGCAGTACGACGAGGAGCTCTTTAACTCAACAGGGGTCCAATACGAAGAAGCACCATTAATAAAACAGAACCTTCGTCAGACAGCGAGACTCGTGCAGGAAGTTAGAGAGAGAAGAAGCTGGAGGACGTCTTGCTCACGTGAGGCTTATTATTGCACATGTCAAATCTGGTCTGTGGAGAAATTAAGTTTGCATCATTTCCTTCATTCACTGGAAATATATAGAAGAAATAAAATGAGCAAGTTCCAGACCAATCAGCAGGCAGTATTGTAAATATGATCTTACCCCTCCACCACCACCAGGGAGCAGTTCTGGACTTGATTGACTAAATGTGAAACACAGTAAAAAGTCAACTCAGGCCTGTTAGGAAAACAGGTTTATGCAATATAAAAAAGTGAGACAAAGACAAATCACGTCCAAACTTTTTCCACCTTTAATGTGACCTATAACGTAAACAATTGCTTTAAAAAAAAACTGAGAAACTTACAATATCCTGGTTGCATAAATATTCACGCCCTTAAACTAACACTTAGCTGAACACCTTTTAATGTGATTACACTATAAATCCATCAGCATTACACTCTTGACATGGCGACATTTGGCCGCTCTTCTTTACAAAAGCGCTCGAAAGGAGTTCTGTCCCCTTCAGACCACCACAGATGTTCAACTGGATTGAGACCTGCGCTCTGGCTGCACGGCCGTTTCACACTTTAAACTCCTGTTTTTAAAGCTTTTGTTGATCTGGCGTCTGTTCAGGGCCACACACACACACACACACACACACACCGCACTGGTTTTCCCTACTGGGAGATCAGGGAGTCCTCAGGTGTGCTACCAGCATCTTATAGTTCTCTGCTGTCCTGCTCCGAAATGGTGGAACGAGCTCTCTGAAGACACCAGGACCACACAGAGCCTTCACCTCTTCAGACTCCACCTCCACTAAAAGACTAACAAATTGTAGCACTTCAATTGTACTTATAACGCCACTTATCTATAGCAAATTGTAAATTGGCTTATTTGATGAAATTGCACTTTCTTGTTTCTTGTTCTTCTGAGTTTGTGTCCCTATGGTTGATATGCACTTATTGTAAGTGGCTTTGGATAAAAGCGTCAGCTACATGACATGTAATGTAATGTGATGTAATGTAAAGTACCTGGCAGCCAGAGAGGGACGGACCTCAAGGCCTCTGGATCGCATCAATATTACAGCACTTGAGGCCGGAGAGAAGCAATCAGATATTCACACTGCTAACAGCGCTAACAGCGCTAACAGTGCAGACATCAGTAACAGTGGTGTCCGTGTTTACCTGAGGAGGAACCAGCAGGTGGACGCTACGACTCTGCATCGACAGATCTGTTCCTTTACCACTCGATTCCTCTGAATTCCTCACACTGCTTTCTTAAGTGATGCACTTGAGCTCGTAATTCCGAAGTTATTCCGAATTCCGGCATCGGCAAGGAGTCAGCCGTTGCCTTGGCAGCGAGAGGCGCCTGCGTCATCGTCGCCTGCAGAGACCCCGACAAGGCTGAGGAGGCCGTGAGGGAGATCAAGGTCAGGAGCCGCAGCCTCAACGTCCTCCACATGGAGCTGGATCTCGCCAACCTGCGCTCTGTGAGGGGATTCTGCAAGAACTTCCTCCAGAGGGAGAAGAGGCTTGACATCCTAATCAATAACGCAGGTGAGGCTGTCGGACGCTCGGGGAAATCCCTTCATGGGTTAAAACACCAGAGAAAATACCATTAATTATTATGGCAACATCAGCTAAAGCCCACGTGCTTCTACTTCCTCCACCTCCTGGTTCTGACCTCCTTCTCCACCTTCCGCGGCGCTTCCTGCAGCCATGCCCGGCGTCCTCGACTGGACGGACGACAGCTTCAGCATGTGTTTTGGCGTCAACCACCTGGGTCACTTCCTCCTAACCAACCTGCTTCTGCCCCGCCTGAAGGAATGCGCCCCCAGCCGGGTGGTCACCCTCACGTGCTCCACCTACAAATACCAGAAGCTCAACTTCCAGGACCTCAACTACAACCTGCTGCCCTTCTTCACCTACTGCCGCAGCAAGCTGGCTAACGTCTACTTCAGTCAGGAAGTGGCCCGCGTCACTGAAGGGAAAGGAGTGACCTCCTACGCCGTGCACCCTGGTAAGAGGCGCCGCGACGTGGGCCGATCGTGCACAATATTCACCTTATTCGCTTACGAGATACTACAAACAACACAGGAAACTGTTAGGCGCATTTTGTGGAAGTGAACGTGATGCTGAATTCATTCACTTTAACTCAAGAGATTCACGTTTTCCAACCTAAACACGCAGCGTGTGATAAAGCGCACAAACACGCGTTCTTTGTGCCTCCAGGTTTGGTCCAAAGCGGCTGGACGTGCCACTACTCCGTCCTGTTCCGCATGCTGATGCAGGTGATCATGTGGATGTTTTTCGTGCCGTGTGAGGTCGGGGCTCAGACCGTCATCTACTGCGCTGTGTCACAGGAAGCAGCCAAACACAACGGGGGTTACTTCGTCGACTGCCGACCGGCCGCTCTGCGTCCCTTCGCCAGAGACGCTGCTGTGGCTAAAAAGCTGTGGGAGGTCAGCGAGAGGCTGGTGAAAGAGGCCTGATGGGGAAGATGTGGGCAGGTTGGACCTCATGTGCTTCTTTTGTGTTTGTGTTTTTCATTCACATCGGTGGTGTTGTTGGCAGATGTAAAGATTTAGTTTATGTGTTTGTGTAATTTAAGAGGAAATGTTTTGCAGGAATAAAAGACTTTACAATGATGTTGCCTGTCTTTCGATAAACGTTTCTAGTAAAACAACCATTTAATTCAGAAACTGTTAATTGTAATTGTCTTAGTGTTGTCCGTTAGGTTTGATTCAGTCAGAGTGTAATATTAAATTATCCAATGTTCCTCCACATCTGAGGCTTTGATTGATTGACATTATTGATTGACAATATTTTTTACTGCCGATTAATTACAATGAGGATGTAATCTTTCACGGACTGTGCTTGTAAAACACATGATTTGACGTGATTATTTCCTATAAAGTTTATACAACTTTATAAAACGTTGTGTTTTAATGTATTTTTATAGTAAAGAAATGTTGCAAATTCAATGTATCATTTTTAATACGTTTATTTATGTCACTTTAAAATGAATCATTTTCTAAAAAAAGCGCACAAACACATGCGTATAAATAAAACATCACCACCTGTTGGTGACTAAAGTAATTGTCAGCTACTTAGATAATAAAAGAAGAGGAAGTGAAA